TTCGTCGGGGGTTCGGTTGTTGGTTGCTGGTTGGCGGTGTGCTTCAACTTCGCTCGAGGTTGTTGGTTGCTGGTTGGCAATGTGCGTGAACTTCGCTTGAGGCGCTTCGGCTCTGTTTCGGTAGGACTGCCCAAAATGGAAAGATGTCGTTTTCACTCACCCCGGCGGAGGTCGCAAGGTGGACTTCGACATTCAGCCATCTCCAATAAAAGAATCCGGATTTGGGCTTGTACTCGAACACATACGGAAGTAACGTGCGAAAAAGGGTCTACATGCATACCACGCGGAGGCCAGAGTACGAGGCACGGATGGTCCCCCCGAACGCGTCGAGGATCCGTGTATGACGGCCGCAGTGGCTTTTCCAGCGAGTGCCAGTGTCAGAAGCGTGTTTTCTTTTTCCAGCCCACGGATGAAATAACACAAAAATAAAAGCCCAAAAAACAGTTTTTCATGCCATTTAAATTCATAAAAGTAGTCACACAACGAGTAAAACGTCTGTAGTGGGACGTAGCCCCAGGGGGGGCTGATAAGAGCAAACACCACTAGGTAGGACTAACTTTTGCGTTTCTTTTCTTTTTGACAGCCAATTGCAAGAAATATGAGTGGGAACGATATACAAAAAGCCAAGTTGCTAAATCACACAGATGTCCAAGTAGTGGTGTACAAGCAGAGTGCACAAATGCCCCAAGATTCCATCCAAATAAGAGCAATACAATGAAGTCATGAGCCAATGTTCAAGCCTTCAGGCCACACCAACACAGTATCCAATGTCGCTCCTCTCTGTCTAGCGCCCAGCGCCCAGCCTACACTACTTGTCTATCCTACCTACATCAGCATTCACGCAACAGGCTCACTTCAACTTTGAAGACCAACACCTTAGCCGACCTCCCTCATGCACCAGGTACGTATCTCGTCTCCCCTCATCATACCCTGACCACTCACACTCTCCTCCTTCCTGAAGACCACCGATCACCCTCTTACCGCCTAGCGCCCTCCAGCCCGACTATGGCTGCTTGCGCTCAGCTGCCCAACAGCACCCCTCTCACCTCACACGCGCCCGCACGCGCCCTGGCCAGTAGCGCAGCATGCAGCGTCTCGCGCAGCAACGCAGCAGCGTGACCACATTGCCTGTGTGGGCTAGAATACCTGACCCCGGCTGCCTCCTTCCCTATACGGAAGTCGCAGCCTCTGTTTCGCTGCGTGTGGCCTGGCTGGAAGCTTCCGGTAGCTTCCGATCGGGCCCCAGTGCCTGCGCCCAGGCCCAGTGCTGCAGTTGAGGGCCTGGGCCCTTTACAGTTGGGCACGGCCTGAGTTTCCAAACTTGGGCCGTTTGCTGCATTTGCACAGGACCCGGGGTATGTACGTCGACAATGCTGCTTTTGTGTAGGCCCGTAGCCACTTCGTGATGTATCTGCCCTGCATTGTGTGTGTATGTGCCCAGACGCAACTACCAAGGCCTGGGCCAAACTGCACGACGCAGCTTAGGGAGGCTGACGCTTCCATTCAACCAACAGGCGTGCTGCAACAGCCGAGTACCCACATATGGAAAATGTCAAATTTTGGCCTCTAGTGAATATTCAGGCCGGCCTTCACTTAGGGCGGGCACTGGGCTTGCTGAGGGCCTCTGCCCAGAACATGTGCATGTCTGATGGGGGCCCCTGCGAGGGCTCATTCCTCACATTCCATCCCCCTTAGCTTCAAAAGTCCGCTGAGATGCTTCATGCTGGTGCCTTTCCCTTCAGTCTTCGCTTGTATTCGGCCACGATCCAGTCTTGACAAGTTCCTCTCTTGTGAACCATCGATCTTCTGTATGACGCTTGAACCGTACCCGCCACTCTCTCATCGGTTTAGGCGGTCTCCCTTGGTCAGCTGGCTTGGGAACAAGCATGTCTCTGTGTTCTAGGAATCGTCGACGCCCACGTGACCATCAATGGTTGGGGGCAGCATTGATCTCCTTGATGGGAATTGCTTGCGTCTCAGCAAAAGGTGCAAGCTTTGAGGCATGAAACACAGGGTAAGTGTGTAAGTGACCAGGGATTCCAATTACGTACGAGGGACCATCCAATTCAATACCCACAATGTCTAAGATTTCCCAGGGACCGAAATACTGAGGCATTAGTTTGCTAGAGATGTCGAACTCCTGTCCCAACTAACTAGCCTTAACCCAGACATATTCCCCTACCTGAAATGTGGACTGTCGGCGATGCTTGTTCTTAGAAGCAACCATTGCTTCTTGAGATTTCTTGATGTGTTGGACAGTCTGTTGCAACAACTTCTCATACTGGATACCGAACTCTATGGTTCCAAGGGTTGCAGCAGCCCGGTTTTCAAGTAGGAGGAAGTCTATAGCAGATCTAGGTTTCCACCCCAAATGCAGCTGATTAGGACTGATGTCGGTGGTGATATGTACAACATTGTTGTTCAAACTGGCAATAAGAGGAAATTTCTCATCCCAATCACCCTGCCTGGGCTTGATATAGTGCCTCAGTAGATGCTACACCACACGATTTATCTCAGCCTTCTCACTGGCTTCGGGATGGCTGCCCATCTGTTCAGCAGCCTTTTTCCACATCTCGTTGGTGAACCAGACATCTCCATCACTAACAATGGTCTTTGGTAGTCCGAAATCACTCACCCAGTTATCCATGAATAACTTGATGACGCACTCAGTCTTGGCAGTCTCTAACATGGCAATAAGTCTAGCGTACTTAGTGAACCTATCCACTATGACGAAGATATGCCTCTTGCCACTCTTGCTGGTCACGAGGCTATCCATGAAGTCCATGGAAACACTCTGTCCCGGACCAGCAGGAATGGGTAAAGGCTTTAACAACGCAAGTGGGGCTTGAGTCCGCAGCTTGTCTCACTGACAGACTTGACAAGTCTGCACATATGTCTTCGCATCGTCAAGCATGTTAGGCCACCGGAATCGTCGTACCAGGTTAACACTACTCTTCTTCTAGCCAAAATGTCCTATTGCGTCATGCCATTCACCTAAAAATAAATTACGCAAAATCTCTCAAGATGGAACAACTATCTCTTAAACCCTGCCTTCTTAAGGAAGAGCAACTCATTTACGATCACAAACTCATCGTTTGTAGCCTTGTCCTGGACCTCGAGTTTGCGACTGATGTCCATCGTGACAGGTTCTTCCTTGTAGGCTTCCTCCAAGGCTTGAGTGACATTGTCAGATAAGCCAAACTCAGTAATCAGCACACCTAGGT